TGCTATAAAGATGCGTGTGTAGTTTATATTATGAATAATACTTTACTTCTTCTGGTGGAATATCTAGGTATGGAAAGATTAGGTTGGATGATAGTTAATGTGTTTAACTTCTTAAGAAGTTATCAAGAGGTTCCCAAAGTGTTTAGACCATTTCTATTCCCACCAGCAGAAAGAACTTGAAAGAAAGAGAGAAAGTCTTAGCTCCTCCACAGCCTTGCCAACACTCACTTTAAAAATTATTTATTTATTTGTTTGTCTGTCAATTTATTTATTTGTGTCTGTGTGTGTGTATGTGTGTGTGTGTGTGTGTGTGTGTGTGTGTGTGTGTGTGTGTGTACATGTCATTAACACATGTGTAAAGGTCTGAAGACAGCTGTGGGATTTGGCTTACTCCTTCCATCATGTGTATTCTGGGGATTGAATTCAGGTCACCAGGCTTGGCAGCAAGCACCTTTTCCCATGGAGCCACCTTCCTAACGTGGACCAATTATTTGCTGTTAGCCATTCTAACAGATATATAATAACACCTCATTCTGGTTTTAATTTAAATTATGCCAAGGAGCAATGATACTAAATATCTTTCCATGTTATTTGGTAGCAGTTCTTTGGTGAAATGCCTACTTAAATATCATACTCAAATTTTTTTTGTATAGTTCATTTTCTTATTGACATTTGGGAGTTCATACCCTTGCTTTTATATGCACAGTTAAGCAACACCAAAATTAATCAATATCTCTTATCTACCTCTTAAACAAAATTCAGGCCTTACCTTGTGCTATTTTACGTGTTGGCTGAAAGTTTGAGTTCCATCTTCTTTTCCTGTGCCTTTTCCCCCATCTCTCATTTTCTGTTTCCTCCCCCACCTACTCGTCCCATACCCCAACTTCTCTATACTCTCCTCTGCGGATCCCAGTAGTGGTGGTTGGCATTTCTGCGCAGCTATGTGTATATTGGTGGCTCGTCCATTTCTTTATCTCCCCATGCTGTTCTCTCGTGGCCACCTCTTCATTCCTGTATCCCTCTTACATCAGAGCAGGCCAACTGTTTGACAATGCTTCCATTTTCATTTCAGTCACCACATTTTCCATTTGTAGAAATTCTACTTTTTCCAATTAATTGTCTTTTTCTTAGTGTTCTGTTGTTTTATTCTGGCCTTCTTTGGTTTGCTACAAACGTATTAACTAATTGCTTTCATGTTGGACTGGTTTGGGGGCTCTTTGACTCTAATTAAAAGATTAGAACTTCTGTGGTTCTAATTGTACATTTCTAATTCTTTAGTACAGAGAGCTGTTTCTTCAACTGTTTTTTTTTTTTTTTTCTGGTATTGAGGATCAAATCTGGGGCCTCATGCACAGAATGCAAGTGTTCTGCCACTGAACCACACCCCAGCCTCTCTTTCCTCAGATCTGGGTGACTCTTATTCTGTTTTGTATACCCATCTTCTATGGGTGTTATGTTCTCTGTGGTAATTCCTGGTGCCCTGGTTGTGAACGTTCTCCTGTTTTGATTCTGGCCACAGCCCAGAGGTTCAACGGTCCTTAGTCAAACATTGTGACTATTTGTTTTCTATGGTTCTCATGAATTTGGAATGCAGGCACCAAAGGCAGACATGTTGTATTTGGATGTTCTACAACCCCAGAAAATAGAAAGTCCAAGGGCTGCAGTCTGAGGTGCTAATGCTTACACTTAAACTGCAGATGCTGCTGTAGCCACAGAAGGTGGGAAAGCTGGACCAGTGTCCCCTTATCAAGCCCAAATCCTCCAAGAACTCTCCCTGTCTTTCAGATGAAAGCAGGAAGTCCTCATCCTTAAGGAAGCACACATTCTTACTACAGCCTCAAGTGGAGAGAGATTAAGATCTATGCTAAATTCAGCAGTGGACCAGCATTTCCCCTTTATCACACTAAGCTGTTGAGAGGACATTCTTTGGTAAGCATAGAATGACAGCACTCCCAGTGGCTTGATACTAGTGGCCAAACGTGCTCCTTGGCTTTACAACATAACCCAAGGCTTAGTTTCTATAAGTAGACAGGTGCCGAAAGGGAGTCCGAAAGGATTCGTTCTTCTGGTCATGCTCAATAGCCCCTTCTAAGCAAGAGTTTCTCCACAAACACAGGATAGAGAACAGAGAGGAAAGGTGAGAAAGGATTAGGATGCAGCCATCCATTCTGAGACGTTCCAGTGACGTATCTCTCTGTGGCTTTCACTTTGGCTCTTCGTCCAAGAATCTACAGTGCCCTTCTTCGTTCTCAGCCATGCTGTGTGTACAGAACCATATTTGGCCTGTCTTGTCTAGCATTTCTACATCTGAGACCAGGAACTTGGGTTACTGTGTAGTCAGTTCATCTAAAAAGCATCTACTCTCCAGCACGCAGGAGGCAAAGGCAGAGATATCTCTATGAGTTCAAGGTCAGTCTGGTCTTCATTGTGAGACCTTGTTCTTCCAACTCCCTTAAAAAGTGGCCTTTTCTCACGAAGGAAACAGGTTGGTTTATTTGTGTAAATCAATAGGCCTATTTAGACCCTTTTCTAAGTCATTCGAGATTTTTTGGATTGCATGAAAGAAAAACAGCTTGCTGAAATTATCGTGTCCTGTACTGACGATAATAAAATAAATGCGCACACGTGTGTGTGTGTGTGTGTGTGTGTGTGTGTGTGTTGGGCAACATATTTAAACACATACAATAAATGCAGTTTGAATTTGGTGTCTTCTTTCTTCTATGGTACTGTTTATTCTCTTGAGCCTGTCTTCACTCATCTATTGTTCTGTGACAGTAAAGTTACAATTTTATCAAAGCACAACTTCATAATGGACTCCTTGAAGATATTTGAAAACCTTCCACAGTGGTTTTGTTGTTGTTTGTTCTGTTTTGTTTTGAGGGTGATAGGATTGCTTGTTTCAGCAATAGATTTTAGTTTAAGTCATACAGAGTTTAAAAATCTAAGGAAGCTGGTAAGCCACTATTAAAACAGAAAGAAAATGTGTCTTGAAACAACATTTTGTGTTTATTTAGGAATGTCTTACATTCGTCTGCTCTGTACAAGGAAAACCCATGCTGAACTGAATAATGTAGTAATTTATCAGTGTTGTGGCAAATGTGACCCTGGAGCCTTTGTAAATTGGCTTTAAATAGCTTTTCTAACAACTTTTTTTTCTAGCATAGAACGAATTGCATTTCAGTTTATTCTTGCAAGATAAGAGGGTATAATCATTAGACATTACTTTGCTAGGTCCTGGGAAGCATATCCTACAGCCCTCGACTATGAAAGGTAGCACAATCCTTGACCCATTTTACGAGATTAGGCAACATGGCTTTCCAGACCGCGTTGGCAAACAGGTAGCTGTTGCACTGATCTTTAAACTACCTACTACCCTCAAGGCCAGGTACAGTTTTCTCCTGAGAGATTCAGTAATATCACAAGACTTGAATGAACAAAATGATCTTTGAGTTGCACAAAGATCTACATTATGCAAGCTGCAGAAATCTCAATAACATATCTCTCTTGTCATTTGTACTCATTGGGGTGACAAAAATCTTGCCCATTGTGATTCAGTTTAACTATTTTGTGTGTGTGTGTGTGTGTGTGTGCCACGTGCTTAACCCCCTTGGCTTTCTGATGAAGCCAAGGGATTGATTCCTGAAACAGTGTTTCAAAATGCATAACAGAAAGATGAACAACTTTATTGAGGTCCGAGCATCTGACCTCTAAGATTTTTCAAGTGTTTATGTTCTGCTCCTCCCCACCAAGTCTTCCAAAGAGACCTTCTTGAAGGGGACTCCTGTACCTGGGGGGTTCCCTCCCAGATCCCGGATTAGTCACAAACTACACACAAGCATCTGTTTTCCTTTATTAAGTGGGGAAGACAAGTTAAAGTGGCTGCTTTCTGACTCAGGCAGAAAACATCAGCAAATGACCTTGCAGGTGTGATTTTTTTTTTTTTTAAGAGGAGGAAAAGGGGAGTCTGTGTTAGAATGGGCTAGGATGCAGTGGTAGAGGAGATAAAGGACTAGGGAGAAGGGGAAGGAGATAAGGGAAAGGGGGCATAGGTATTTGTCCCAGAGAGGCAAAGGACTGTCTCTGGAGAGAGAGGAGACAGATGTGGTACATAGGCAAATGGCAGTTTATAAAGGTAAAGGGGGAAACCCCGTGTTAGGATGAGGTGTTAATTTTAAATGAGCATGTTAATTAAGGGAGCCAAAGGGGGCTTCTGATTGCTGCTGGACTTTGGTAGTCAGCCTCAGGAGGAGGAAGTGGCCAAATATAGGAACACTTCGGTGGCTAGCTTTATAATGTAATCTAACGGTTTTTAGCAAGGCCGAGGGAATGGGGGAGAAGGGCAAGGCCTGCCAGAGCCATATGTCTAGCGTCCTTTCACCTTCTATTTTTAGACAGGTAGGTAGCGGCCCACCCCACACACGTTTGAAGGTTACGGAGGTGATTATGGGATGTGCTCCCCCATCCAAAGAAGTCTGCTTCTTCAGCCCTTTCTTCTTTCCCCAGCTAAGCTCTAGCTTTTTTTTTTTTTTTTTTTTTTTAGTTTTAGTTTTTTCTTTTCCATTCTTCTCACCCTTTGCTTAGCCTCGCCCACTTTGGGGCCTGGACACACCCCCTCCAACCTCCGCTCCACCCCCCAGCCTCCGCTCCCCGCCCCCACGCCGGCCTCCTCTGCCAAGTCCCGCCTTCTCTTTTTCCTGCCAATCAGGTTGGGGCCACCTTGTGACACTGCCCCCCGAGCTCTCTAAGGGCCAGTGGGTGATCTGCGCTCGGGGCGCTGTATCCCGGCTGCGGAAAGATGGCAGGGGCCGCGGGCTGCTTCTCCGACGAGCAGTTCCGGGAGGCCTGTGCGGAGCTCCAGCAGCCGGAGCTGGCCGGGGCCGACTGGCAACTGCTGGTGGAGGCCTCGGGCATCACCATCTACCGGCTGCTGGACCAGGTAGCGGCTGACCCGCCCGCTTGTGAAGATCAGGGCCCCCAGAGTACCCGGGTCAGGACTCCCCACAGGGCTGGCTGCTCTGCTGGAGTGACCAGGCTCCTCTGAGTTAACTTTGCCCTGTGTGGTTGGGCCATTATCCGAGCTCAGCCTCAGGTCATTCTTGTTGCTGGATTTGTGGATTGTTATATTTTATGTTTTACTTTGTAGCGTTTGCAAAAAAGGAAACCCAAACGGCCTGGGAGCAGGAAGTTGTATTTAATGGCCCATGATTGGAGACCTGGCAGCGTGCCAAAGGTATCCTGTCTAGGGTCTGGACTTTCACTAGAAGAAGGTATAATGTGTCCAATACAGGGTTCAGATACTGAACAGGAGTGGTGTGGCTATGGGCTTTTGGGTGCCTGTGACTACATTCACAAGGGAGAGACATTTGGCAGCAATAGGAAATGAGTAATTTGGGGGTTTAGCCCAACTCAGGAAGCAGTTTGTTAGGAATAAACGATAGAGTTAAAACACTGGTCAGCTGATTCCTCGACCATGCCTAGACCTGCGGAGGACATGGGTTTCCTTCTGCCATATGGGTGCCAGTGCTGTGTGGAGTGGGGGAGGGACCATGTTCTGAGCCCAGTGGGAAAGAGACAGGACTCAGGGACTGGGTGGCCGGAGTGGCCAAGAGATGACTACAGTAGTCTCACCATTTTAGTGACTGTCTTCTTTGGATTCTAATTTTAAGTTGTGTTTAATAACGTGCTTGTGAAGCTTCAGGCAGCACGCAATGGAAACTGCAGGAGGAGTGGAGTTGATTGTTGAGCATCTTATTGGGAGCCTTTGGAACCAAGTAGCCCCCCAGGTGGAGAAACTGGAGGCTTGTCGTCATGGCTTTACTGTAGGCAGCGAAGTTCCCTGGCACAAGCCAGGAGTGTCACAGTGAAGGAAACAGACCAGGAGGGATGAAGTCACCTCACCGAGACCCAGGGAAGTTCATGGCAAGGGTGCGGTTGGAGGGCTCACAACCAGGTAAAAGAAGTTTGTGGTATAAATTGGATTAGACCGAAATAAGTGAAGGTAGACGAGGAAACGTCTAGTCTGCAAAGGTAGATTCCTGTCAGCTAGGTCATCTCTACTTCCTTCTTGAGGTCACAGGACAGCCTGGATCCAAGCAGTTGCACAGTCCGCGGAGGCCTGGAATAATACTTCATGAGGTCAGCAAGAGGAAATTTTACTGGATGTCTCTGCCGTGTCAGGGCCAGGAATTTGCTGATGATAATTATCAGTCTGGTGATGGCTTTGTTTCCGTGTCCCTTAAACTAAGGTGCACAAAAAGAACTTCTAGCTGCCATTTTGCCTCTTTCCTAATTGTGCTCGCATGCATCCATCTGTGTGTGCTCCCTACTGTATTCATGTTTTGCTAAGGATGGCAGTTGTGCACTCACCAAACTTGGCCTGTTGTGTAGCAGGACCATTGGTTACAAGATGAACAAGAGACAAAATCGTCATCCTAGTGAGACTTGAACAACTCTCTGTGTGAAAGTGGATGCTTTCAGACAAAATCCTTCTGTTGCCTCCCTGATCCTTACACCTTCCCTGGCAGCCACATATCAAGGTGATACACACTTGCCAAGCTGTGTATCAGGCATCAGATGCCTTTCCCTCCCCTTTCTCTCCTTTTTCAGGTTGGGTTCTCAGCACCTCTCACCTCATATTGCTTCATCTTTTTAACTGGTTTCTTGGCTTCCATTTCTTCATTGTCCTGTATCCCACACGTTCGGCACCTGAAAGAAAGGTTGTGATCTTATCATTATCCTTTGGATGTCACCCTTAGTCACAGAATTATTGCCAGTCATTGTAATAGCAAACAGTTGCTTCAGTGTCACCCTTAGTCACAGAATTGCTACCGGTCATTGTTAATAGTTAACAGTTGCTGTATGTTTTCTTATAATCCGGGCACCGGATATTGATTTGCTCATTTCTAACTTCAGCCTTAGGATAGACACTGTTGATCATCACCTTTTTACCCACGTGGAAAGGAGTGTGTCCAGGAAACAAGTTAGTCAAGATTAGAACCGGCATCTGAACCTAGTCGTCTGGTTCCACACTTCTTTCTTAAATCCTCTGCCTCTCTGAGCAGAAGGCACATGCAACCTGCTGGGGATGCTGAGGTCTCAGCTCACCTTTTTCCCAGCAGTGTTTCCCCATACTCACACATTCAGGCCATCTTCTGCTTATCAAGATAAAGAAATTGAGGTTCTAGGAAGGTACATGATCCATCCAAGGCATAGAATTAAGAAGTGCTTCAAGAGTAACACTCAGTCCTTCTGTCCACAAACCCCTTCCCTATTCTACCTCCTACATCACCGTTTGGTAGAGCACCTGAAATGTGGAATGGGTTGTCCTGGAAAGACGTACTGACTCATCATTAACATACTGAAAAAGAAACCAAAGAGTGGTTATATATTCAGTCAGTATGTATTGATGCTCTGTGAGATGTAAGTGAAGTGCTGTGACTCTAAGATAGTGTCACTTCCCTGAAGGTTCCAGTGGGTTGGTTAGGAAGATGCTGTGTAGGATGCTTGCGTTGATGGCCTTTAAGAATCATGTTTGGCATGTTGTTGATGGCCTCAAGGTGGTCATTGATGTCTGACTGCTTGGCGTACCATCCTCAACATCAGAAGTGGTTCACCTGAGGTGGTAATCTGGTGGCTCCTTGTGGTTCCTCACTGAGCATCCTTTATTGAAATGAGGATGGAGAGAAGCAAAATGTCGGTCACATCTAAATGTGCCTGTGAAAGGTTTACTATGTTTTGGAACGATGAAAATAAATGCAGAGGCTTTGGGACATTCTTCAGTGTAATAAATTATATTTTAAATTAAAAAGTAGATTTGTGCCATCTTGTAGAGTAGATGCAAATGATTCTGAATCCTGTTGTTGGACAATGGGAACTTTTCCTCATGTAATTGTATTTATCTATTTTGGGACAGAGTTTCATCATGTAGCTGTAACTGGCCTGTTATTCAATGTGTAGCCCAGGCTATCCCAGAACTCCCAGAAATCTTTCTGTGTCAGCCTCCTGAGTACTGGCATTTATGGGCATGCACCACAGTACCTTCCTAGATGGGAACTTTGGACAAGAAACATTTTTATATACGTTTGGTTTTCCCGTTTATTTATTCAGTCACAATATGTTTCACGTGGAGAGTTTCTTCCGGATCGTTCTCTCCAACACTATCATCTCTTGCTTCAACTTTCTCTGTTTTAATCTCCTTATTTCTTTTTTTCTACCCATGTTGTAGTGGTAATAACTTAGCAGCATACAATGTGCAATGTGCAAAATACCATCACACGTATGTCTTCATCTACTCCTTCAAACAAATCTGGAAGCCATGGGCTTCCTCTCTTACCACACAGGTAGAAATGAGAAACTGAGTCAGAGAAAACCTTGTGAGTAGTAACTGGCATGAGCTAGTCTGCTTGGATAAAATCATTATCAAATATGCAGCTTGCTGGGAGGCCAGAACACATCCTCTTTCTGAAGGCCGAGCAAAATCAGGTGAAGGCTGCCCTGTGGCGTCATGAGAAGAGCGTGGACTTTGGAGGTAGGCAGTCCTGAGTTCAGACCTCAGCTCTGCTCCATTCTCATTCATTCTGTCATTCATGGGAGTCATGTGCTGCTGCCTTTGCGGGCCGTGGCGAGTGAAGGAGATGATTGCTGCTTCCCTGAATAAGCTTCCTGAGCATGAGCTGGATTCACTGATGAGAATAAACCCCCTAGATGATAAAGAGATGTTGAGGGGTATAAAATACTATGAAGAAAATCAAGCAGGGGGAAGGGAGGGAGAGAGTAGGAGAAGGCTCAGCAGGAAAGGGGACTTCTGGGGAAAGCAAAAGAACTGAGTTCAAATCCCCAGCACCTATTTAAAAAAATCTGGCCATGGCTACATAGGCCTAGAACCTCCATGCTGATCCTGTCCTGTGTGTTCTTCAGCACTACATGTTTACCTGTTGCTGAGGCTGCTGGTCCAAAGACTGTTCATTCAGAACCACTCATGTCTAGGGACAGTCTGCCATGGCACTTGTGGGCTTTCTGATATTGAGAGGTACCGTCAGAGGCAGAAGAGTCTTCGGGAGACAGGAATGCTATAAACAGGTGAAAACAAGGGAAGTGACCACTGAAGACAAAATCAATGTCTGTCAGAAGACTGACTGTCCCTGATGATTGGGATAGTGAGCCCCTGCAAGTGAGTGTGGTCTTCTGAGCTGTTCTCATAGATTCTCTAAGAAGAAGAGCCATAGACTCTTAGAAGATCTTTCCCAGGGATCTATAGTCATGTCTCACAGCAGCTTTGGACTGCATTACCATGGCAATAGTCAACAGCATGGCCTATAGACTGAGTCTGGCACACAGAGGTCACAACTTTGGTTTAGGCAGATGTCAGACTGAAAAGCTCTCTCTGATGACTTAGTGGGTTATCTCTGCATACTGGCCTCAGAGAAGGGACTACACTGGTGTGTACTAGACCTTGGCTGTGCCTCAGCTGGATGAGGAGCCAAACTTCATTTCCCAGCGATGGCTCTTACTGGTGCTGCTGACCTCACGAAGTGTTTCAGGCCCGAGAGGACAGTGAAACTGCATTGATCCAGGCTGCACTGTGGGCTGAAGAAGGAAGCAGAGGTGACCTTCGCAGACAGGAGTCTCTGCTGACTTCAGACTTCCTCTACCGTCCTGTAGCTGGATCTAATCCAACTCGGGCCACAAACTTCTTTTACTGCAGCATGATGGGTCTAATCTGCCTTCTCCTCCTACCCTTCTGGCTCCTGGTGTGATTGGATCAGACTGCTTCCAGATTCAGGGAACTCACTGAACTGTAGCTTACGAGCAAGCAGGGCCAGCTTATCTACAAGCTGGACACCTGTTATCCCCCAAGATACAGAGGCCACTTTTCTCTTCTCTTTCACCTCCTGCAAGTGTGCAGAGACAGGCGACAGACTTTCTTCTCTCTCTGGGTGAGTGTGGGAGTGGGAGTGGTGTGAGAATGCTGATCCCAAGGTTTAGATTTGAAGGGATGAGGTTGAGTAGGATGCCCCGCTTCTGTTTCCAAGTGTAAGCCAAGCTTTGTGGTCTGCCCTGACTTTCACCACGCCCCTGCTGGGGGCTTCAAATACAACGAAAAGTTTGTATTTGGCCATGGAACCCAGAGAAGAGTTGATGACTCATAAAGAAGTATTTGAACTTACTGGGTCCTTGGTCATAAAACTGTACCAATACCCAGGTGAACCAGAGCAATATTTGGGGTAATGCTCAACAGAAGTTTGTGCTTATAAATTTGTCCTCTTTTTGACATCCCGCTGAACATCCTTAAGCCGCAGTTTCCCTGTCTGAAAAAAATGGGCTAATAGCTCATACCTCATATTATTGTTATGTGAGCTGATTGGGATAAGCCGTCTAAGTGGTCAGTTCATTATCTGGTGTTCAGTAAGTGCTCAGTGAGTGTTAGCAATCACTCATTACTTTAGCTAGCCATCTGCAACCCTTAGGTTTTAAACGCATGGTAGTTTCTTTTCATTTTTTTCCATTGTACTTTCTTAGAACATCAATAGTACATAGATTTAATCAACTGTGTTCTTCACAGTCTGTAGCCATAGCAGCCCATCTTCCCTGACTTTATTTTGGCAAAAATGCCTACTTTTTATGCCCCCTGAATTTATCTAAGTCCAATAGAATGGTGGGAGTTAGTGAGCATCCACAGCTATACAAGGACACCTTGTCTCCTGGGGGAATGGAAATGTGCTCTTCCATGAGAGGCCAAGTCAGTGCACAGCAAAGAGAGCATTCATGGGGACGGGGGTTGAAAAAAAGTGGCGCTTGGGCTGCCTTATAGTTAGTGATGAAATGCAGATGAGCTCCACAAATGAGGGGTAACTCGTGGGTGATACCTTTGTCTCGGTCAGGTCAGGGGCATGTGGTGTGGGCAGGTGATATCCACAGGTGATTATTCCTATGTGGCAATGAATAGTGAAGGTTGGCTGTAAATAACATTTTGACAGTTTACATTTCTCTCATGTAAATACACGACAATTACTCTGTTGAGGTCGAATGAGCATACCAATGACCTTAACAGGGGAACTGGAAGTAAATTGCATGGGTTGAAAAAAAAAAAAAAAAGACAGCTTGGAGTTTAGACAAGCCACCAGAATCAAAATCGCATCTTAAAATCTAGCCACACCAGTAGCAGTTTCCTAGTCATGTGTCCGGGCCTCTGCAGCCTCTGTTTCTTCATTTGCAAACTGGAGATGCTGAAATGTCCCTAAGCTCAGTGCCTGTCATAGAGCAGGTGACCTGTGAGTGTCAGTGGAGTATCTGTGGTCCTCAGTCCTCACTTCTTAAGCTGGAAAGAGGAGATCAAATATCTTCGTACCCCCTCATGGACTTCCGCTGGATCACCTGATGTGACCCTCAGACTCATTCTATGAGCTGGAAACTCTTCTTTGACCCATTTACAAGTTAGGAGGCAGAGAGCTTAGACTCAGCTCAGCTCATGGCTTCAAGCCCATGCTGTCACCACTGTGCTGTCGTTTCTAGCTACAGAGTTCAAGAGACATCTCTTAGGGACAACAGTGGAAAACTTGGCCACATCCAGTCCATTAAAATTGAGAACATTATCCTTACTCCCGTCCTGCTTTTCTTCTGGTCTGAGTCTGACTTTTCCAGAAACATCTAAAACAATACTTTGGCCATCCAGAGCACTACTGGGCTTAGGGACACAGGGAAGCAGCCTTCCAGGGAGAAGTGCACTCTGAAGCAAGAGCAGCGAAAGGGACAGGTTACAGGCTTCGCCACCAAGTGTCATCAGTTGACCCCTAGAAAGTCACTGGGGTCTTTCACAGCATTGGTCTGTGGCCCCTGACTAATCTTATGTGATGGGCTTTCTTTACCTTAATCTTTAGCCCATGGTCTGGATAAGACATGTAGAGAGAGTGGAGCTAAATGAGATGCTCTTGGGGTAGAAAGAGCTGGTGTCAAAAGACTCACTGTCTCCCTCTGTTTGACCTGATACTTATGATCATAGCTCTGAGTTTCGTGTGTCTGTCTACCTCAAGGACCACACTGATCAGTCAGTAAGATCATGACTATAAAATTATTGGGAAACTAAACTATGACTAACAAACCAATTCCCCAATATTATTGAAAAAAATCATAGCATGTCTAAAGGATCAAAAAACTTCTCCAAACAAACCATGTGGCTGTTGCAGTGACCACTGATGGATTGGTTGTCAAGGGAAGCTCATAGTGAGGGGTAAAGTCAAGACAGCCTATAGCTGATCACTTCTCAGAGCCAAGAGCCCAGATCCCTGCCAGCTTGTGAGTGTTTTATGACTTACTTAGTGTCTCTGCAAAATTAAACATTAACCGTCAATTTAATGCCCATTTTAGTGGCCCTTTGAATTAGCTCTCCTTAGATGGAAGGGCAGGACCCATTGTGGGTCATTAGTTACTTAGCTCACGTGACCGACCACTCACCTGATTGGACAAGCAATGTAGGGTCACTTCTTCAAATAGGTGGAGGGAACGTGCATAAAGCATAGGGACCCCTATTGCCTTGGTCTATGATGTTCTCAAAACTGACCAGTCTCGATAAAAATTACCTCTGTCTCCTTCCAGTTCCTATCATAAAATCCACTGGTCAGGGCCACCATCAGGGCAGCAAGTCAGTAATCCTCCCTTGGAGGTGCTCCCACTCTCTGGAGTTCTTCCTCACTTTCCCTTATAAATCTACATTTGCTCTACTCCTCGGTCATATTTCCTGATTCTTTTTCAGCATAAGCCATGGGTTCAGCATGGCACTAGAACTAGTGATCTTTATTCTAGCTCCCCAAGTTAATAAGCTCTCTGTGGTGGTTTAAAGGAGAATGACTGTCATTGGCTCATATGTTTGAATGTTTGGTCCCCACTTGGTGGAGTTGCTCAGGAAGGATTAGGAGGGATGGTCTTGTTTAACAAGTGTGTCACTGGGGGCAGGCTTTGAGATTTCAGAAGATCTCTGCATTCCCAGTTTGCACTCTCTTTCTGTCTGTCTGTCTCTGTCTGTCTGTCTCTGTCTCTCTCTCTCTCTATCTTTCTTTCTCTCTCTCTCTCTCTCTCTCTCTCTCTCTCTCTCTCTCTCTCTCTCTCTCTCTCTCTCTCTCTCTCTCCTACTTTCAGATAAGGATGTAAGTTCTCAGCTACTGCTCCGGCACCATGCCTGCCTGACTGCTGCTGTGCTCCCCACCATGATGGTCATGGAGTAATCCTTGAAACTGTAAGGAAGCCCTTAGTAAACTTTTTTATAAGTTGCCTTGGTCATGGCATCTCTTCTCAGCAATAGAAAAGTAACTAAGACACTCACCAAGAGTCAAGAGAGACTCTGTTACTCTCAAAGAACCCACATGGTCCTTTTTCTTTTTCCTTGACAATGTATTTTAGCAATGCTTTGAATTTCTATAGTGTTTTAGTGAATTTATACATAATCCCATGGTCTTTCAAATATTCACAAGTTTTAACACTATTCTGCCATTCTGTTTTAGAGTACTATGAAATGAAGAATCAATCCAGACCTAGAGCAATAGAGACTTTCAAGGAGTTAGGTGGACATTTCAATGGGGAGAGTTCTTTAGGCCTAAGGTCTTCAGCATTGTGAAAGTTAGGCAAGTGAATTTTCTCTTTTAAACCGTAGTAAATAGGGTTAGGAAGAAGCATGCATGGGAAGTGAGATGAAAGGGTGGCATGATTGGACAAGAGATCAGAGAGTCCTCTACCCTGAGCCCAGCCGGTTCACCAGAGGGAGTGCATACTGGCCCAGGTTAGGGTGGGTCAAAGGTCAGGGCCTTGAAGCAAGGAGAAAAGTTCATTTAGTTTGGTTAAACATTTTGTTTTGAATTGATCAGCGAGGACAGGCAGCTCAACTAATCATTTATGAAGCAAAGAAAGGGAATTTGGAGGGTCTGCTCAGGTCTTGGTGTTCATGAGTCTGTTCTGTCATATGGGGGAGTGATTTGCTTTTGTTATTATTGTTTTGTATTTCCTTTGTAGTCAGTGTATTATGAACTAAGGATGCAGAGTTGGAATTTTGAAGTTTTCTTTTGTGTGTGTGTTCATGGGTGTCCATATGTCCATCTGTTTGTCTATCTATCTATCTATCTATCTATCTATCTATCTATCTATCTATCTATCTTTATGTTTACCTACATGAGTTCACATGTACTACAGTGTATACCGATACCCATGGAAGTCAGAAGAGGATGTTGGATCCCCTGGAACTGGAGCTATAGAAAGTTGTGTGCTGCCTGATGTGGTGCAGGGAGATTAATTCAGGTCTTCTGCAAGAACAGCAAGTGCTCTTAACTGCTGAGCCATCTCTCCAGCCTTCCACCTTGTTTTGAGACAGGGTCTTTCACTGACTCTAAAGCTCACTGATTGGCTAGACTGTGTAGCCAGCAAGCCCTAGGGGTCCTCCTGTCTCTGCCTCCCCAGATTTTTTTACATGGGTATTGGGGATCCAAACTTAGACCTTCATGCTCACATGGTCTTTTTCTTTTTTTTTTTTCACTGTTTCCTAGTATCCCAAGTTTCAAATAAAATTCTGCAATGTCAGTGAGGACCATTTGGATCATTTAGGATTGCTTTTCGAAGCAAGTAATAAAAAATTGGGCTGAGGATGCCCTAAATAAAGGTACCTTTTGGTCTTACATAACTAGTCACTCAGAGATCTATGGTGTGGATGTCAGTTTAGCTGATCCATTACACTAGTGATGCTGGATCTTTCTACTCTGCTGTTTCTTATTTGTTGTTTTTCAGTCCCTGAAGATATGGCGCAGATCCAAATATCATGTCCCCATTCAAAGCAGGGCAAGGGTATCACTTGGAGGCTCTCCAACACAGGAGACTAGAAAGTTACTAGCCATTCACATTCTCATGAGAGCTCTCCCAACAAGGGAGGAAGTGGGCGTATACCATATCAACCAAACCTTGTTTCTTCTGGCAATTGTATTCCATGCATGATAGTGGCTAATTCACTGCCACCCACATAACTTTTCAGTATTTGAAGTGTAGAAAACGGTCTTAGAAATGGAGCATTACACACCCAGTATATTTTGCTATAGAAGAGGAGTCTGAGCCATTTTTAGAGGGATAGAGGTATATGAATAAGCATATATGGAGTTATTCATTACAATGTTGGCAAGCTTGGGAAAATATCCAAACAAAAATTTCAAATGATTTGTAAAGCTAATTTTTAAAAGGTCCCATACATTGTTAACATAAACTCTGTTCAGGCAAAGCTAAGCTTTGTGTTTTTCTAAAATACAACTGTAAGAAATTGGTACCTAATCCCAGGGAGCTGCTTCTTCACTGCTTCTGAGAGCACACGCTGCTGTATAAGCATTATAAATATTTAAGAGTGCGAACAACACTTGAATGGTAATGCTCACACTCTAATACTCATCTCTGAGAAAATATCCCTATTGAAAAAATGAACTGGGATTTTGAACTGAGTGTTTCATGATTATTTTGGAAATACTCATTTCTATAAAATATTCTGAAACAGAAATGCATTTGGGGAAGAATTGTTTCATGTGAACTTTCCATAGTCTTAATATACTACTAAATTTGAGGTAAAAATACCACCTGTTGATACCGTATCATATCCGTTTGCTCACGTAGACAAACATCTGCTCCCTTTAAAGAAATACTATTGGATATTATTAGCAGATACTTACAAATTACGAGGTTACATATCTCTCATTAATAGTTCTTTATAATATCTTTAAACTTTCTACAGTGAATATGAATTGCTTTTATAATGATTTAAATTTGCTTTACCTTTTAAAGGATGAAATAAAAAGGAGTATGTTTGCTATATCCATTTAGAAATCTCGAAAAACCAAAAAAAAAAAAAAAAAGAAATCATGAACAAGAGAGTGCTTTGATTCAGGAACTTGGGCCAGGCTATGGAGCTCAGCAAAAGAATGTGGGGCTGAGAGATTAGGAAGGGGTCACCGAGGATCTTGTTCCCCTGGAGTGCTGGCATTTCTCAGTCCTGCTACAATGGGAGAGGGACTAAAGGAAGTCATCACAAGAGTTCATTCCTCCGTGTTCATGCAAACTGTAGATCATTCTATTTTCTCTTTGACTTTCTGGCCCTCTTCTATGATACACCTATGTGTATCAGAGTCATGCAAGGATGTGATTGCATTCAGGAAGGCAAGGGACCTAGTCTAAGAAAACAGTTCTGTGTTAATTTTTGTAGATGTCCACAGTAAATCATGGAAGACTCCATGATCATTGTCTTAACATGTAAGTGTCCTGTTTTGGGTGAGCATGTGTAGAAAACAGGACCTCTGTTGTTGTGGGGTGTTTGTACACTGTGTGAAGATGTATTGCTGTGATTGGTTTAATAAAGAGCCAAATGGCCAATAGCTAGGCAGAAGGTATAGTTGGGCCTTCTGGGCAGAGAGAGAAAATAAGAGGAGATAATCAAGGAGCAGGAGAGACTCGAGGAGACACCGAGGAAGCAGGATCGGCAGTAGGTGACAGAACATAGATGAAAAGAAATGAGTAAATATAAGTTATAAGAGCTAGTGGGATTAGCCTAAGCTGATGGCCAAGCTTTCATAATTAATAAGAAGTCTCTGTGTCATTATTTGAGGGCTGGTTGGTGAGACAGAAAAAGAATTGTCACACTCTATTTTCCCAAACAAATTGTTCATTCTCTCTCCTTTGGTTGGAATGTGCCTATATTGATGTAAATGGGTACATATGGGGAAGCACTCACCATAGTCCTTCCTGCCAGGGCAGGCAGAAGTTGTTTCTCCTGAGGCCTCTCATCAGATAGCCCTTCGCTCAGGGTATCAATCCATGCTGAGGCACACAGGTCTTAGATACACCCAATTCCACTCTGCCTATTAGAGAGCCCTGGTAACAAGCCATCTGCTTGTACTGCTGGCAGATCACTTTGAATTTCCCCTTCTGTTTCTGCCAGGGTTCTTTCACGTCCACTGGGAATGGTTTGTTATGTTAGTGCCAGCTGAGTTGGAAGCCAGTCTTTAGAAGGATCTCCCAAGACTTTCTTAGCCATTGCATGGGTCCTTGGCATGGTATTTAAGGAGCTTCTTTGGTGAGCAGTCAGTGGAACCCAAGATCCATCTAACAGCTGGGTTTTCTCCATTTGCTTGTCACTTGCTTGTCTCTGTCAGTTCATTGCCTTTGTCCTTTAGATCCACCGCTTTCCTCTTAACACCAGGGACCAAGCCAGACCAAGCTCAGGGAATTCTGAGTTGCCACTGTACCCAGTAAAATATGTAGTGGGGCCACCTGGAGCCTAGAACCCTCACAGACAAGGATGTGGCTTGACGTGAGAAGGGAGGAACTCACTTATACATGTAATCTAGGAATTGTTTTTTTCTAAATAACAGGACCGTCTGTTTGAACATGATTTGAAGCTGATGGAGATTCCCTTTTTAGTTTTCTTTCTCAATAAAAAGTAAAACAAAAGCATAAACAAGCCCCACATATAACCCCTCCCCCATAGAAACAACAGAAAAACTCTGTCTTGTGAATGACTTCACAAATTGCATTGGTTTCATTGTACTCAGTGGATGTATAAAACTATACACCCCACTCAGAGCTCTGGGTGACTATGTAACATGGATATGTGCCTGGTATCTGCAAATCAACCAGACCAAACTAGAGCTCTTGCATGCCTCACAGGTCCCCTCTTGTCCAGTTTCTTCTGTGTCAGTGAGGGCCACTTCCTCACCGACCATGTCCAGCAATGGTTGACAGAGTTCTCCTGGGTGATCTGCTGTCTTCTCGTCATCCTTCCAGCAACGGTTCCTGGCATCCCCACCATTGCTGTTAGCTCCCTGTTTTTGGTGACCATCTATTATTTGGATTAATGCACTGGGTATTAAAGCCATCTCTGTTCACCTATGGCACTGTTCTCTACCAAGACTTCTGATCTTTTAAAATCTAGTTCGAGCTGGTCATTTCTAATCTGTCCCTAGTCATATCTGGCCATGCCTCTGTCCACAGGCATCTTTAGTTTTCCAGAGTGATGAGAATCAAAACTTCACCTCTTCCCATGGTTTCCCAGGATCTTTGGTGTCTTGACTCCACAACTTTTCTACCCGCAGCTCCTATCACTCTGTTCCAGACTTCTCTCTTGGAGCATGCCTTTCTTCATCTCCCAGTGACTGGTCCTTCTGACCTTTAGAACATGATATCCTGATAAATCTTGGGAAATGGTCCCTATAGAGGCTTTTTCTGTCTACCTGTTGATATGGGTCCCCCACAAAGACACTCTTTACTATATAACTCATCTTATGTCCTACTTAAATCATCTGGCCAATGCTGACAACTATCCCCTCCACCAGTACCTACAGCTGTATATAAGATACATGAGACCAGGGGTCCTATCTCCTTCTATACTGTGGTCACCAAGACCCCAGAGGAGGTCAGTGGTTGATGTGGTTGAACCCCAGCCCCGGCTGTTTTTCATGTGATACAGAATCTCAACTCTGGTATCAACAGATTGTTCCTCCCGTTCTGTTTCCATAGCCAACTGGACTTTATGAGTATAAAGTGTTTGGTGTTCTGGAAGGTTGTTCGCCAGCTCTACTCGCCGATGTGTACATGGACTTGGACTACAGGAAAAAATGGGACCAATATGTAAAAGGTGAGTGATGGCTTGTTTTAAAACAATCGTTAAGAAGTTAGTCTAGTCTTGTCTGATTTAGTCGTGCATACTTGAGGCTGAAACCCATGTTGCCATTTCCAGTACTTACTCTGCCCGTGTCTCAGAGTCAGTCTCCCCTTTGTCCTCACAATTGCTTGGCCCTGCTTCCTGAGCTGTGCTAACCCATGTGCTTCGATTGCCATGGAAGCCTTCTGGGAAGATGGGTCTCCAAACTTCCTTTTGGAAGACGAATCAAAGGTCTCCAAATAAGCAAGGGTACACACACGTGAGGAAGTGAGGGAGTAGGATTCTGAGGGGCTGGAGGGCACTGGAGGTCCAGACAGCTGCCTGAGGGAAGGCAGCATGTTCAGAAGTCACTGGCAGTTGATGGATGTTATTGGGTGGTGATGCTCCCCCGCCATCCCCCCCCCCCAGCTGCTAAGCTGAGGACATTTCATGACCTAAGGCAGGAAAAGAATCCAGAGCCTACATAGTCTACGTAGTAGAGGTTTTACCTTGAAGAAATAAAACCTCCTGTATCTTAGAGGGGGCAAGTCAAGACTTCTGCAACTATCAAAGAAGCAGCCTTATCCCCCCACTTTTAAAGAAGAATATATTATTCATAGCAGGGAAAGATCCAGGAGTTTCTGGCTTCTGTGAGTGCTGCTGCTTTGGGCCCCTCAACAATCCTGCCAGGATGTTTCATCAGCTCTAGACTGTGTTCCTCTGCATTGACCTATTTCTCAGGCAGATTCCCGTTCTTTGTGAGAGTGTCCTTCAGGGGACACAGGCTCATACTCTAATCATGCAAATAACTCTAGGAAAGAGAGTCTCATTTTCTTAACAAAAGTCAGCCAGAATCCCAGAACTCTTTTTCCAAAGTTCATCTCAAAGGGACTGCTCAGTCTGTGAATACTGGTCATGGTCTTGGGGCCGCTTCACGTTTCCGAATACCTTTCCTCATTAGGGGACATCAGCACACTGGCCTCTCCAAAGGAGGAAGCTGGCACTGTCTCACTCTCCCCAGCCGCCATAATGCTGTCATGTGATACAGACTTTGCCAACAGATGCCCATGTGGGTTCTGCTGGGAAAGGAGCAATGTGAGGAAGCAGACAGCGTACAAATCCTCTCTGTTCATGTCAGCTAACACACCCGACTTTAAAAAGAAAAGTAGCCGCAGGGCCTCTTACTCTGTTACCCACCATCAGCTCTTCACACTGTGCTTTCTGGTACAGTAAAAGCCACTGTTAGCTTTGCTAGAACAATCTGGGAGTCCTTACCTTACTGCTCCTGGATTTGAGGAGTACCCAAGAGCCTTGGGACTAATTGGACCTAAGCTTACTACAGGAGCAAACTAAAGTCCTGGCCACTTGATCGCCAGAGTCATGTCTTGCTCCTTTACCTAGCCCTAAACACTTTCCCTACTTAAACCTCATAGTAGAGAGAGAGAGAGAGAGAGAGAGTGTGTGTGTGTGTGTGTGTGTGTGTGTGTGTGTGTGTGTGTCCGTGTGTGTGTGTGTGTGTGTGTGTGTGTCCGTGTGAATACTGAGCAGGTAGAGGCAACAGACGCACTTATCCCTTCCTCTCACGACTGTCCACAGTATTCTGTGGCACTGAGGGGCCACAAAGCTCCCTAACCCATAGTCTGCTTCTACTAGATTTCTTTTAAATGCTAATTGTACCCCGATGCATCTCCCACAGGGGTGTCTTGATCCTTCCCTGGATGGTTAGATGAGAGGCCACCACACAGCCTGGGCACATGTCTGCTCTTCAGTTCCTTTGCTCTCTCCTGTGAGAGCTGCGCAAGGGCACAAACATTAAGGGAATTTAGTTACTGGAGCTGTGGCAAGCTGTGGAGAAACAAGAAGCTCAGGGTTCAGCCGCGTTGTAGCTGTCTAAGGACACAGCCCTCGATGAGCCTTTTGTTTCCCAGATGCCATGACCCTAAACATACCAGACTCTGTGACTTCCTCAGTCTCTGGCTAACTGTAGGGAAGCAAACCTTGCTGGGTGTGTGTGTGTGTGTGTGTGTGTGTGTGTGTGTGTGTGTGTGTGTGTGTGTGTGTGTGTGTGTCTGGGGAGAAGCAAAACTCCTGGTACTCTACTGACATCTGGTGGTTTACCTGTTTAAAGACACTGATAATTTCTTGACATCCAGTTCCTTACATGTTATCCCAGCATGCTGTTGGTACAGTGGACAAGCGCTGGGCTTGTTTAGGTTTTCTGTGGTTCTCTGTCCTCTAGACCATCCTTGAGCAGCAAGGTTTCAGTGGTAGTAAATATACTTTTCTGTCAATAAACGCTTCTACGTCTGATGAGTTAGAGGTTTATCACGCACTGAGGCTATATAGGCTTCTTGAAACCACTGAACTCTTGTGATATGGTTAACTTCCTGTGTTCTCCTTCAGAACTCTATGAAAAGGAATGTGATGGACAGATGGTAGCCTACTGGGAAGTGAAGTACCCCTTCCCTTTGTCCAACAGAGATGTATCCTTTCTCACACAGTGTCCTGTGTTCCCCAGCTGCCGTCCTATGCTGGGATGCATTCATTTCAAAGTAGTCATGGACAACGCTGTCTTGGATCCTTGCGGAACCGTCTGCTAATGCTGCAGCTGCTTGTGTGACTCTCAGAGACTTCAGAGTGTGATTTCTGGGTGTGATCACATAGGACAGTAACCTCACATAAGGTCACTGGAAGGTATCACATCCTTTCCAGACAAAGTGTCCCAAGATAGAAATGGTTGAGCCTTAGAATTGGGGCCCCGAGTCGGGTGGTGGTGGTGGTGCACACCTTTAATCCTAGCACTCGGGAAGCAGAGGCAGGTGGGTCTCTGTGAGTTCCAGGCCAGCCTGGGCTACAGAGTGAGTTCCAGGAAAGGCTCCAAAGCTACACAGAGAAACTCAAAAAACAAAAACAAACAAGCAAACAAAAGAATTGGGGCCTCGGAGGAACAGTTTATGAAGAGTTTTGGTCCAGACAATTTGATCTTGATCTTACAGAGGAGGGGCCCATGGAAGTGAGATGACAGGCATCAGATTGGTAAGAGAGAGCAACCAGGACTCACCCTCTTTGCTTCTAGCTTTCTTCCTCCAGCAGGGTCCTCTTGACTGCTCTTTCTTTCTTTCTTTTTTTTTTTTTTTTTTTTTTTTTTCCAAGACAGGGTTTCTCTGTGTAGTTTTGCTGCCTGTCTTAGATCTTGCTCTGTAGACCAGGCCAGCCTCGAACTCACAGAGATCCGCCTGGCTCTGCCTCCCGAGTGCTGGGATTAAAGGTGTGCATCACCGCCGCCCGGCCGACTGCTATTTCTTGACGCTGGGTGCTTTTTCTCTCCCCACTTCTGTGTTTATAAAGTAAAGCAATGGACTGAACTGTAGGGAGTTTTTCCTCACATCTAAGCATATTGATCCCTTGTTGCTGTGAACAAATTCCTGACAATAACCTACCTAAGGGCAGGAGAAGTGGGAAAGTATATGTTTGGATAAAAATGCCGTGATGAAACTCATCACTCTGTAAACTAAAATTAATAGAAAGTAAAGATGGGATATACATGCGCTGACGTTTGCTGTCGACCGTGGGAATGTTCTGTGCATGCTTTTTGAGGTGAAATAGCTTTGCTCTTCTTGGTGAACCAGTGTTTCCTCAAACAGATCATCTGCCTACTATAACTTGAGGTATCTATGTGTCTTCCTACAGTTTTAGTTGTGACATGGATACCTTCGTGTGTAGAGGTCTGTGATTACAGCTATGGATGAGGACAAGACAGGATCGATACTATTTCTATCCAATGCTATTTCTGCACCCAGATTTCTCTAGTGCTCCCAACATTCCTGCCTGAGGACCAATAGCACTCCCTTTTTCTAGATAGAGAAACTGAGTCTGAGAACATTTGGTTAGCTTCCCCAGGATTACAGCTAAGTGAACAGTGCTCTCTGTATGTCTTCTTGGAGGAAGAAGGAATGTGATCTTTGCATAACCGAGAACTCCAGGGACCATTCACAGGTAGGTGACAGCACTCTCCAAGTGAGAACTATGGTTGGATGTGAGGTTCAGCTTTGCAGGGGAAGTAGGCAGTAAGTGAGGTCTCAGTAGAAGGGAGCAGATGCCAGGGAGAAGGCGCAGAGTGGCTTCCCATTGCCACCAGAGTGGGCTGCTTTCCTCATGCTCATATCATACCTTGACTGGCCATGCAGTATGTCTACATCCGCCAGCGGCGAGACCTGGATGTGGACGGGAGGAAGATCTACGTGGTCCTGGCCCAGAGCATCTCTGTACCTCAGTTTCCTGAGAAGTCTGGGGTGATCCGAGTGACGCAGTACAAGCAGAGCCTGGCGATTGAGAGCGATAGCAAGAAGGGGAGCCGAGGTAAAGCCTGGGGTGCAGGTCAGCAGCTAGCCAGGGCCACTTGAAGGCTGGGCAGGTGGGAAGCAGGTTAGGTACGAAAGCTTATTTATTAAAGGCAACTGTGGCCTAGGGACAGTAGATTGGAGGTCAGCACCGGGGAGAGTCTCAATCCACACACCAGATTGGCTAGAGCTTGACATAGGTGTTTTGATCTGACCCAGTGCATTCTTTTTTTGTTTGTTTATTTGTTTTATTATTTCATGTGCATGAGTGTTTTACCTGCATGTGTTTCATGCCTGATGTCCGTGGAGGCCAGAAGAAGGCATCAGATCCTCTGGGACTTAAGTTACAGGTGGTGGTGACTGACCATGTGGGTGCTGGGAATTGAACCAGGATCCTCTGTAAGAGCAAGAAGTGCTCTTACAGGCTGAGCCAGCTCTCCAGGCCTGCCCCTTACTCATGTACTCTTTATTGACCAGATGAAATCAGAACACTGAGAGCAGACCCTAGGGTTTCAGAAGAGTCACCTCAGGTTTATCCCATGGCTATAGGGACAGGGCCTGCAGAGGGACAGTGGATTGGCAGGTGTTCATTAGAAGATACAGCTCTGCTCAGCACAAGGCCAGAGACTCAAGAACATTGAGTTCCAGTCTCCCAGAAGGAAAGCATGGGCATCCACCTTCCGCCATACTGGCACGAGTGTCGCCCGTGTGAGATGAAAATCTGATCCATCACTCTGATGCCCATTAGGTCTGTGGTTGAACTGTTCTGACTCTGTATTTCCTCACAATAAGGTGGGTGATCTGTCAGCTCCTGGGGCTCTTTGGATAATGAAATGAGAGATGATTTCCAAGTGTCAAGCATCTGTCAGGCATCTGAAAAGTCACGGCCAGTTGTTCCCCGGGCTGTATTTTTAACAATGCTTCTATGTCAGTAGCCACAAGGCAGGTCAGGGCAATTCCCCAGGATCACTTGCTCCCTTCCTCTGTCTCTCTGGGCCCAAATCTGAAGATAGAAGGTTTGCAGGGCTTTGTTACTGCATTTGCCCAGTCCCTCCCCTCCCCCACCCCTTCTGAATTGTCTTTTCTTTTCCCCATTTAGTTTTCATGTACTACTTTGATAACCCGGGTGGCCAAATTCCGTCCTGGCTCATTAACTGGGCAGCCAAGGTGAGATCCCAGGAGGCAGGTGGGGGTGGGGGACAGGGGTGGGGGACAGGGTATGTGCATTTGACAAATGTTGACTTAGCCTGTGGGTTGTCATGTTGAAGAGACACATTGTCCCAGGGTAATGAGACTCTTTTATGAAGAGATTGAGTTGAGTGACTTGGATAGAACTGGAGCGGCCAACACCCAGGATGGAGACTGTGACACAGGACAAAGAATCTGTTAAGCTTGGAATGCCAGCCCTTCCCTGCCGGTGGCCCCAAACCCTCCGAGATCACGCTCTGGAACTTCCAGACAAAAGTCTGCTCCTTGTAGGGACAATGGTGCTTTCGGTATCTGCTTATGGAAAGTTAAGACAGACAGACTTTGCTTAGAGACAGCCCAAAGGAAGCCGCTGCTTCTGTGGTCCTTGCTTTTATCATTCCCTAAGGCCAGGGAACTGTGTTAGGAGTCACCCAGGTCACTAGAGGCTGCCACTCCTAGGATCCTGCCTCGTTGTGACTATTCAGCAGGATTTGTACAGGCCTTGCGGTGAACTCAGGAGACTCATGGGAGTTAGAATGCCTGTAGGCATCAGAGGGAAACATGTGATTCTGAATCCGGGTTTTGCTACTGGATGTTTTGTGTTGGTTAGGGAAGCCCTGACTTTCTTCCTTTTTAAAAAACCGAGGATGAATATTGCCTACTGTGTGGAGTAGAAGGCAGTGAGATAACATTTACAGAAAGTCTTGCACAGTGTTTGACACTACGTAACTTTGTCTCCCACCTTCTAACCCAAGCACCGTTTGCGAATTCAGTAAGGCAAGCCCTTCCACCTCTTCAAGGAAGAATCCAGAAACCTAATCCCAGATCCTGTCTTTTCTTTTTCTTTTCTTTTTTATTCTTAAGAAATTATGTGTATGTGTGTGCATGTGGGGGAATGTACTGACGTGGGTGCAGGCGCCTGCAGAGTCCAGAAGAGGCGTTGGAGCCCCTGGGGCTGGGGTTACAGGTGGCTGTGAGCTGCCTGACCTGGGTGCTGGGACTGAGGTCGGATTCTTTGCAACAAAAGTCTGTGCTTTTAGGGCCTGAGCTATCTCACTGGCCCCCCTTTCCTTTCTTTTTAATAAATATTTCCAAAAGGGCTCTGTAGTTCTTATGAGCAAAAGTCAAGCTGAAGGCCCTGTCGATGATGCAGCCGTCTGTCCAGGTCTTGCCTTGTGCCATTTTCTGACCGCGTCATGTAGAAATTGAATCAGAGGCCTCACTTTGCTTTATTTCCCCTAAAGCCATTGTTGTTTATCTTCTGCCACATTCCAGAGAGTGAAGAATACATAGAAACGTATTTTTCTTTCCCTTTGCAGAATGGCGTTCCAAACTTTTTGAAAGACATGGTGAAGGCTTGTCAGAATCACCCCAAGAAAACCTAACAAGGAGGATGGGAGCCCAGCATCCATGAGTAATATCTCTGGATGTGTTCCAAACGATGCTCAGCCTTCCCTCCACACTCTCCCATCTTCAGAGGTCGACGTGGATCCCTGGAGTGCTTGCCTGTTGCCTGGCTCATTTGCTGCCTTCGTTCACACCGGTTCTACTCAGGGCCCACTGCCTTCTTCCACTATTGAAAGGGTGGCCTCTGCTTCTTTGTTTTTAATTAGGGAAATCCTCAGCAGGGAAGAAAAGCATTCTGTTGTACCATTTTAGGGGGATGAGTGAGAGGAGGAAGGACATCAAAACACGAGAGTGACCCTTCCTGGCAAGCAGGCTCTCTTCAATACTCTTTTGTGCGACTCAAGAGTGGCTGCTGGAGATGGCCTTTGGCCCATAGTTGACCTTCCGTGTTCCAAACCTTGGGGACACAGTGATGTCCGTTCTCTTTATGCTTTGCTGACTGGGATAGATTGGGATTTGAGGCAACAAGCAAGTATTCCTACTTGTGCAGGATCACGGGCTGCTGTGATATCAGACCACTGTGAGCGTCCCAGGCCTGACTGAGCACATGTTGAGATGACCACATTTCCCTAATTGCCCACATATGGACTTTTCCTTTCCCATAAGCCACTGGGAAAACGCTGCCTGTAACCTCTGTGTACTTGACTGCAAGCCCAAGGCTTCCAGAACAAAGATAGCTGGAGCACAGCACTATGATTGTGTCTTGCTAAGCAGTAAGGTAACTTTTTCTTCTAGAATGTTTAGAGATGTTGAAGGGTCAATAACAGTTTACAACCAAGGCAAATTGAAGTAGTGGTCTGCTGTGCCCTTTGCCTTTTTTTTTTTGGAATTCTACCTCTCCAAAACAAGGACCCGTGGAGCCCTAGTTTTATCCTGAATTTTTGTAGGAAAATATATTCTGTGGCTAAGACACAGTCTCGGTGATCTCAGGGAAAAGCTTTAATCGGTCTGTGCAAACCTTGATGAACAGATATGGAAACTCAGGATTCAAACAAAGCCAGAAGAAAGGGATTATTAAAGTGGTCTTCCTTAAAGTGTGTGTTCTCTCTGGGAGGAAAGGTGTGTTCTATGAATAAACAAATAAATAAACAAATGAATAAATAAAACACGCTTCTCTTGTGGGCCATTTCTTTCTTACCTTTTCTTTTGGGAAAAATGAGTTAGTTAGGCCTCTTTTGTTTCACTGACACCTGACCTAGCTCATAGACTAAGAAAAAAAATGAAAGAATAAAAATTTGAGGCTGGAGGGATGGCTCAGCTATTTACAACACCGGCTGCTCTTTCAGAGGATGGTGGTTCAGGTTTACATTCCTAGCACACATGGAGCAACTCATCACCATCTGTGACTTCAGTTCCAGGGATTTACACCCACTTCTGGTGTCCACAGGGCACTGCATGCACATCATGCACATATACAGGCAAAACACCCATTAAGTTAAAGTCTTTTAGGAAGAGAGAATTTATAGCTCCCTTGCATTCAAGGCCACACTTATTTGGCTTCTGGGAGGAACCAGTTCAGGTGCTTAAGTTTAAAATTCAGCTCTGTTCTTCAGTTTATCTAAATGTTATTGTAGGATTGCTACTAAAAGCAGTAAATGGGCTCATGTCAAGCAGATAAGAAAACCAGGCAGGCAGGCAGGCAGGCAAGAAGGAAGGAAGGAAGGGAGGGAGGGAGGGAGGGAGGGAGGCAGGCAGTCAAAGGCAGACTCCATGTCAATGAATACTGTTTCCCTGTAATATAAACTCTGTCTATGGCATGTGTTTATTGATTCTGGGAGTAAGATTATTCAAGTAAGTAAATGCTTCATAAAATTATCATTAAAATGTCATTATCAATAAGTGACTGGTATTTAAATTTAGGAACGTGGCATCTATTTGTCTTATATTGTGAGTGTAAATTGATCCCTGACAAGGGTCCTTTAAAATATAAGCATGAGGACCCAAGGCCACAGTTTTGAACAGAGGATTGATGTGAAATGGTGCCGTTTAAGCCATTTCTTTTCTTAAAGAGGTTTTTGTTCATGTTTTGTTTCGTCTTGTTTTCCAAGACAGGTTTTCACTGTGTAACAACCTTGGCTGCCCTGGAACTTGCTCTGTAGACCATGATGGCCTCTAATCCACAGAGATCTACCTGCTTCTGCGTCCTGAGTGCTGGGATCAAAAGTGCGCGCCACCACCCCAGCACCATTTCTTTCCTTGAAGAGGTTTTTGCTTTGTTTTGTTCTGAACGTATATGACTGTTTTGCTTGCAGGTATGTCTGTACATCACTTGTGTATCTGGTGCTCATGGAAGTCACAAGAGGGCACTGATGCCCTGGAACTGAGCTACAGATGGTTAGGAGTTGCCATGTGGGTGCTGGGAATCAAATCCAGATCCTCTGGAAGGACAGCCAATGCTTTTAGTTACCGAACTATCTCTTCAGCTCCAAGAAGATGTTTCTTGAACAGCTAAGGATTCTGTGGATGCTAAGAATACCAAATGGTTTCATTGTTTATTTGTCTCACTTTTTCTTCCTTTTTGAGACAGAGTCTCTGTACAGACCACACATCAAACTCCAAATTCTCCTGTCTCAGTTTCTCAGGTCCTGGGATTACAGGCATGTACCATGGCACCAACTGTCATAATACCAAATTTTAGGAAATGTGCGTAGGAAATGGTGAATTTGGGGTGGAAACAGTGGCTCAGTGGTTAAGTTCATATACCACTCTTGTAGAGTACTGGAATTTGGTAGATAGCACCCACAACCAGTGGCTCACAAGCTCTAGGAGAGCTAGTGCCTCTGACTTCCACGGGCACCTGCACTCATGTGCACAATATCCACCCTCCTACATGTTCACAAGATTAAAAATAATCTTAAAAGTAAATTTGAGTTAATTCATGTAATTACCGATGGCTTTTGGCTTATTTGGAGTAGAGGACAATCCTATATGACATAATATTAAAATATGACATGTGGGGAAAACTCCGAATCCCATGTACTATATACAGTAGGTGCCAGAACTGAAAAACATTGGTCTTCATGGGAGTGCCTGGTAGTTCACTATATGCCTTTCCATGGAAGCTGGGTATGTCACTCAGAATTTTAAAGTTGCAAACATGCCCCAATTCCTCTATATACTTAGGCCTGTTTTTCACATGCCTGCCTCACCCAGTAGATGGTAAGTTGTTTGAATAAAAGCAGTTATTGCCCACTAGTGACTGGCCTCAGGGAAGTATGTCGGAGGTATTCAAATGGTACCAAGTGAATAAATGATTTAGAGAAATCTGAACAAATGATGCAAACTCAGAAAACTAAACCTGTTCTGACAGAAAGGTTCATCTCCATTGATTCAGCTCACCTGACTCTCCAAATCAGTGTTTGGGGGAATTCTAGATTTCCTATGTTCTTGCTGGTCCTTCTTTTCAGGGCCTTAGTCCTGCCCTGGGGAGGGATGGTTTTGCTGCTTAGCCACATGCAAGTTATACTGTGATGTTTGGAAATGGTGCAGTCTGGACGGAGGGCAGCCCAGTTTACCCAGGATTCCATGTCAAAGCCAATGGCAAAAGGTGCACTATTGTGGTGCTAAATTCTTTCCACAGGCAAATCATCCCCATCCCTGCTGTATAACAATCCATAGTTAAAGATCACCTTGGCACTGATGTTCCCAGAGAGCGTCATTTCCCTCGCAAATGTTTCACAGCGAGAGCCCTGGCCTTGCTTTCTGGTTGAGATTTCTCCCTCAGGACTCACATCCGAAATGCCTGCCCTTCACACCTCCTGCTTCCCAGTAGGCTTTGGAAGAGGCAAACCAGGAAGACACCACCCAGTCAGTTCAGAGAGTTATCTGTAAGAGCATGGAGACATTGAGTCACCTTTGTGGGTCTTTCTCCAAACACTGGTGTCATCAGGGCTGAGGGGCAGGCAGGTTGGTTTATAGGATGAATGAATCAGACTGGGGACTTGTCCTCTGCCCTCAAGGAGCCTGTGGTGTGCAGAGGAAAACACAGTGAACAAGCTGCTGAAGAGTGAGAAGTGCTCAGAAGGGACACAGAGAGGCTGCTTTCTCATGGGACACTAGATGAGGTTGAGGGACAAAGGAAAACTGTGTTTTGGAATTAGCTGAGAGAAAGCAGCAGAAGAAAACCATTCCAGATGAAAGGGAGTCCACAGGGCTGGTATGGCTGCAGCAGTGGCCTGCTGATCTGCCTGACTGAAGTAGCATAGGGGCCAGCGGGGAGCCTGAGGGCCACATGAGGACTCAGGAATTGATATGCAAGCCACCAGTGAGTTCTGAAGGAGCGTAGCTGGAGGAGTGATCTGATGAGATTTATTCATTCCTAATACCTTCCATTTTCCCCATGGCCCCTTGACAGCTCTGACCGCGGGATTCTTTTCAGGTGACCTTAGAGCATCCTCCAAGGGTCTCAAAGCCTTCTTACTCATTCTGTACTGTGCAGAGTGGCCCATGCTTTGATGGAGCCTCTAAAGCAGAGCATAGCTCTGGTGTTTAACTGGAAAAATAAAAGAAGGTGAAGGTGGGCATCCATGGACATCTTGCCTCTCCTGCCCATGCTGTGTCTTGTATCATGTCATGCAGCCAGTCAGAGCAAAACCATTGCCCAGTCCAGAAGTGGGAAAGAAAAAGCATGAAGTGCTCAAACAATGAGCTCTTTCCCTAAGATACACTTTCACGTTGCTCATTTGCTCAGGGAAGAAAAAGAATATATATATATATATTCTTTTTTACAGGAATATGTTGCTTGACTGGGTCACATATGGAGGGCTTTAAATAAATTAGTAATTAAGTTGCAGTTTTTGAAGGGACACAGTCCATCACAGGGAGGGCATGGCAGCCAGGAAGCAGAGTGATCACATTTCAGCTGCTCACAGGAAGCAAAGGGACCAGCACTGGGTGGCGGCCTAGAAAACTTCAAAGCCCACCTTGAGTAGCATACTTCCTCCAGTAAGGCTCCGCCTCCTGAATGTTTCCTAGCCTTCCCAAACAGCACCACTAACTGAGGACTAAGAGTTCAAATACAGGGCATGTGGGGGAAGTCTATAACATGTTTCTATGAATGCATGCATGTGTACCATTTCTTACTGCGCAGTGACAGAGTACAGAGCATCGCCAGGTTTCCTGTCCTCCCAAGTAGCATCCATGAACATGGAATGGCTTCTTCTATTAGGAAACTCATAGTCTACAGAGACATAGAACACGTGCATGAGGATGGGAAGGCATGGGCTCACCAAGTTATAAAAGCAAAGTTAACATAAGCTTGCCACACTCTGCTGATTATCCCATGGGATGCCAAAGGAATGAGTGTTAGCAGAAGACAGTGGAGGTGTGAACATGGGGCCAAGTGTTGGCCGGTATCAAGAATGTAGTAAGTACCTCTCCCAGCTCAGAGTCCTCACTTGTCCCTCACCTCACTGTGTCCGAGAAATGATGAGTCAACTATGAAAGCAGGAGAGTGAGCACGGCAAAATGTGGTTGTGATCCCCGCTTCTACATCATCCACTTTCACCCCAAATGGCTAGGATCCAAGGCAGGGGGGCCACCAGGTCAGGCATAATTTTCAGAATTGTTTAACTTTTAGTATGAGTCATTTAGTGTTCCAAGGCTTTTTCTCTCCCTTCCCTCATCATTATAATTTGCCTTTTCATTCAGATTCAACATCTTTTAGGAGATAAATACCAGAGTATTTTTTTTTTTTTTTACTGGTTTTACTGGTTGACCCGAGAGAGGGGTAAGGATAGGAAGCAGACAGATGAGAGAGAAGGCCTTGCCACTTGCAGGCCAGTAACCTGAGTGTGAAGAGAAGCGCGATTCCCTGGCCAGAGCCTAGAGAAGCTGAGGACATCCTACAGCATCCATCTTCTATCTGTTGTTCTCAGTCCCTCTCGATCAGCTCATAAGCTGAGAAACAGTTGCTGGAGTCCAAGCAATATGAAAACGGCACCTAGAGAGCTCCTCGCAAGCTCTACAGTGACTTTTGTGTTATGTCAAGCAGCTTCCGAGGGCCCAGACCTGTGTTTAAGTGGTCATGGATGCCGCTTCCCGATGAATGTGGTGTTTCATTTTCCGAGGGCGACTGAATAACATTCTTCATTAGGAGTCTATATTTCA